TAAAAATGGAATATATATCCAAAATATACGTAGATATTTTATTGTGACATTTCCACAACATAAAAAAAGCAAAAAAAATTTTTTATTTTGTAATTCAATAATTCAAAATTTTTACTATAAATATTTCATGATGGTGATATATTATAGTAAAATTATTCGCATCTTTGTACTTTGAATTGTGAAGTGAATTACTCAAATAGTCGTGCAAAATCTCATAACTTTGTCATTTTATCCTGCAGATTTAAATTGTTGCAGGCAACATGCGTCAAGCCTTGTCAACTGATGTCTCTCATCCACTTAGTGAAATGAAAAAATATAGTTATTAAAAATTCTAAATGCAGAGCTTTGAATATTTAAAATACTCCTACCAAAGTTAATTTGATTTGTTGGTACATAAAATTATGGTAATTTGAAATAATTGCCGTTTCTGAATGAAATTTAAATTTTCGAGTAGTAAAATATGTCTATATTACAAATAATTATTATCATCAATATTATTATAGTTACACAATAAACTAAACATAAAATAAAATGTAAATGTATTTAATACCATTTCGAAAAACAGAATAAAATATTTGTGGAGTAATTAAAGTATTTACTTTCTTTTGACCAAGAATTTAGTGGTGAACAGTTGAGTGTAGGACTTAAAAATGAATGAATTGAAATGGTAAATACTACGTTACTCAACGTTATTTACCACGGGAAATTATTCTGAGATAGTAAATGTAAATATGCTGGTTTAATATACAAACACAGTTGATAGTACGATATTCACAGTCACATATGGCTTTTGTGCTTTATCCAAATGAGTGTTAGTAAAGTGTATATTAGTGTTGGTGAGAATCTATAGACTATTGCCAGGCCACAGCGAGTTCACGAGGGTTGCTCGTACATCTGGCAGTAACCGGTATTACCGAGCGGTAGCAAATTTAGTGGTACATTATATGCGCGTTTCCTCCTGTCGAGCGGTTGCCATTTGTATCTATGTGCGAGCATAAAACGTCCGCGATTGTAAATTACCAAATCTGACGAATAGACTTGTAATGGCGAATATTGCCGAATGAAAAACTATTTGTTTGTTAAATCCTACCAACACTTCATTCACGAAACAATTTTTCAATAGAATACATCCTATTTTAAATAGTTTTTTTTGTAAATTTCTTTTATGTATTCATTCTTAGCTTTTTGTTTTTTTTTTCTTTTTTTGAATGAAAAAAGCAGATTAAGTATGGCAACCGGTTAAGCTTGTTCTCGTTACATTCACGCCACGCGTCGGCTGCGTGCCATTCTTGACGTTCATTCTGCCACTCTTCGCTCCCGCGTTATGCTAATTTTTATGCAGCCCCAAAATTGGTGGAGACATGTGTGTATAACAGCCGCTGGAAGGTTATCATATTTAAACATATGAAGTAATATATTTTTACTAATACTAGTATATCAGCTCTATGCTCATTCAATTGAATATATGGACAATTTTTTTGCATTATCTAAGGATTTTATTTGATGTGCTGTGACATAAGGTGGAGATAACTTAACAGAGTATTAAGTTTTATCAACAATATTATTACCTCTGTATAATAATTAGTAATTTTGTTTACGTATCTTTTATGTAAATTAAGGATTGAATTATTATTTAGAGTAATAAATATTTTTTGAACAATTTGACTACAAAAGCTTTTAGAGATTCAATCAATTTAGTTACAATGGTAATGGTTGAAATGATTGATTGTTTATTTTATTTTAGCCCATGTACTTTTTTTGAAATAATTGTAATTAATACTTTTATTGCAACAATATATTATTCGAAATAAAAGTTTTAAATTTAAAAAAAAAAAAATGTTATATAATCGTTAAATTGTGTGATTCAATTAATACATAGTTGAAATGAAACAAAAATATATTTTTTTCAATTAAAATTATTAGTCAATTTATTGAACTATTAGTTTATATTTTCTACTAGAAACCAATCGAATTATAAATTAATATTAATTAAATTTATCAAAAAATTCATAGAAAATTTTGTTCACATATTTACAGGCTTAAATAGCTAGTATCAATAAACGCAAAAATTCGAGAATAACTTAATACTTCTATATTTCCCATGTGAATAAGCAAATAGCTAGATTAGTTTGAAACTTTCTCTAGCAAGCCAATTAGTGTAAGTCACAGGAAATGAAATTTCCAAGATCTCATACAATCCCTAAGGCTTGATTGTATTTCTAAGGAAATTATGTACTATAAGTTCATGACATTGAACTGGCAAAAATCATTAATCGTACTAAAAAGAGAATTAAATATACGTGTCATGTGAATTTAATCCTCTGACTAATTTATACATTTATTTTATCAAATTTTATGGTGTACAACCTAGTAAATCATGATTTACTAGTCGTTAACAATTTCCTAGTGACATCCACCGTTTTATTTATAATGAAAATTAATTTTCTATATAATCACATGGAGAACTAATACATTGGGTAATATAAACAATAAAGTTAAACACTGTATAAATAATTAAGTCACCAATGACGACACGAATAAACGTTAGAGAGGTCCAAAGAGAGTCTAAATTTTAAAAGTGTACATTCAAGAGCGATAAAGTCGACGGGGCGTGGATTATAGGTACCATACACATTGCCGTGGGCCCACAGTAAACCCCACGTCTCGTTTTTTTTTTCCTTCAGACGAGTGTGCGCACGGCAGATGGCACGGGCAGAACGGTCGACAGCTGCCGAAAAAGCCGCTCTGCGTAATATAGTCGCAGTCAATTCTTTTTCTCTTGAATGTACGTTTGCCAGAGCTGTTCAGGGTTGTAAAATGAGCCCCCATGCATCGTTACGAGAGTTCAAAGGAAACCTGCTGTTGCTGGGCGGGTTGTCGCTGCTACTGGCAAAGATCTGGTATAAAATGTGGAGAACAGTAGACTACATTTAGATATCAAGATACTGTGACAGATGGATTCAATGAGGAAAGCTACGAAAAAGGCTTAAGAAAGTTTCTGATAGACTTCTTTTAACTTTTCTTCTTCCTAAGATAAATAAGCTAGTTATGATAGTCATAAGCCGTCTTTTAAGAGTCTTCTTCAGTGTCATAAACAGAACACGGACTTGAAGTATTAATTTCTTAAAAATTAATTAAAATCCTTCTATATAGATTACCAACAGAAAGTCAAACTAAATAAAATGCGACAAGTTTTTTTAGATATTTGTATGGGTATTTTGTTAGATACTTTACTCTCTACAGCTGTGGAAATAAAGCAGCTGCCTGCCAGTCACAAGTCATGATTATTTTAAATAAAATTTTTACACCTTTCCATGATTACGAAAAATATTATCTGAAATAAATAAATTTTTAAAATATTTTCATGTAAAACCATTACAGTATTATCAATCATTATTGACAACCATGTATAATTGTGAATAAGCTTACCTAATCTTTGTCGTAAAATTTACAATTGATAAAAATCGTTTAATTAGTAACACTCACATGACTCTCTGGAAAAATATTTCCAATTGAAAATGTCATTATCAAAGCAGTGCCATCATATTGCAAAGGTGTCTGATTCGTGACAAAATTTTATACAATTGTGTTTGTTGAATGTACTCGAAATAAACCATCCTTGATAGCACAATAAAAATTTCATTAAAGGAGCAAATGTGATTAGATGAGCTGCAGGGGACAATTCTTGTTGAAACTGGCAAATAGTTGGCAAAAAACTCGTTTCAACGAGCAACAAAATATTGTTCATCATGCAGTCCAGACAACGGCTCGTGCCAAGCAGCTGTTGCTATTTTCTTTCATCAAATTCTCGCCCCTCTCGTCACGTCTTGCTTTTACCCTCGGTCAATTCATGTTTGTGCGTGTGCCGGAGAAATTGATCAAAAGAGAATCATTCACAGACACTATATGCTCGGTTTAGTTTAGCAATCGTGCCCTAATGCTAAGCCCCCCTTATTCTAACGATCGAACATATTAAATGACATGACCCTGAAGCTTCAAGCAAGCAACAATAGAATTTTCTATACAGCCACGTGGCAGGCTATAGGGATAATGTGGCAACGGTCACGTGTCCACCACCGCTTAGGGTGTTTTGCTGAAAAAGAGTTCTATAGATAATTATTCCACTCATTTTTTATATCAGTTAAATTTAGAATACTCCATTGTCGCCAATCGATCTTATCTAAATTTAATCTTAACGGTTTCTGCTGCACTTATTATTACCTGAATTATAAGGCATAATCTCTTCTATTGGAAACCTAAGGACTAGTTTAAATATGACAATCTATAAAAAAAAAAAAGATTTTTCAAATAAAAACTCACAACCTCATTACAATTTAATGAATTACAAATTTATATAATATATGAAGTATCATATCATGAGATATAATAACACCAGTCAATGAAGCAGGTTATTTTAACAATGTTTTCAGTAAAAAGTACATTAAATGTAATTAAAACTTTTTCATAGCTATTTACAAAATTTTCAGAAATATTAAATACAAAGTTTTATCGAAAAATTTCGCACATCTTCTCTATAGTATTTCAGATAATTATGTAAAAAATTTTAAGTAATTAGCATGAAAATAGGAATATGAATGACGATATTGATAATATATTTTTTGAAATTTAACCTAATAAGGAAAATCAGAATAATGATCGAATCTGTTTGATTCTCATTGCAAATACAGGCAAAGCAATTACAAATCTATAAATTTACCGACATCGATGTATTGATGCTGAAGTTATCATGAAAATTAGATTAATTCACCTGTCTATCAATAAATTTATGATAACACAGATATTATACATTTTTTAATAAAATGATAAATTTCTCATCTATTTTTTCATAAAATTTCAATCAAATCCGAATGCTAAAAATAATTTGAAGGTAATTTTATTTTTTTTATGAAAATTCAATTGTATTTACATTTATTTTTAAACTTTTTTTCTCATCTTTTTATTGTAATTTTTTTAAATAGTAATTGAGAACCCTTGAAGTCAATTAATAGAATCAAATAAAAATATCTATTTTTTGAAATTTAAATCAAAATTCATTTTTCATCTGATTTATGAAAATTTATTTCTACATTTTAATATAAAAACAAAAAAGAGTTATTTACTCAATTCATCCGATCATTTGTTTATTTATCAGTTTGATTTATAAAGCAGATGTGAGAACAGAATACAAGTAAAGGGATTGTGAATTATTCGAAAGGTTATTCTAAATTAGTATTGGGATAAAGCAGAACGTGAAGTATTGTGATCATGATCGAAAATTGAGTCTTAAACCGTGAACAATCGTGTGATTATATCATGGCATATAAAAGAGAGAACTCTCACCAGTAACAGTAGCAACAGCAGTAGTAATACAGTGAACTTATACTAGAATGTAAAGCCCTAGAGGCTTGTAGCTTATTCGCACACTCAGCCCCTTTATTTGTACCATGAAATGTTAATAAATTAGATTTTTCAGCATAATAATCGATTTCCTGTATCATAGAATAGTAATGCATTATATATAGTAAACTTATCGAAATTAATTGTACTCTAAAAGCTTCAATTATAAAACTAAATATTGATTTAACTGGAATAAAAGTTGACAAGGTATTATTTCAAAACTCTATTGGTTTATCGGTATTAAAATATCATTTTTATTTCATCTTGATATTATTCTGGTAAAAGAAGTAAGTTGTTAACATCAATATTTTAAAAATATTCCAGAAAAAGTAACCTTATTAGAGTGTAAAACTGAATGCCATGAAACTGATTATTATTTTGATAACATGATATTTTTAATAATCATGAAAATTATAAATGCAATGTGATTTCTTTATGATAAACGATTGAATTCGCTATAACCATTCTATTTATTCATTTATTCACGCAATAAAGGGTTCTATTTTCGACCACTCTATCGTGGTTAATCATTTCCATATTTTCATTCAATCATTAAAACAATTGTATGAAGCTTTAGATAAAAATAATAGCAATGCTTTGAATATCACGTGCTTATTAATAGAGCTGTCGTTATCATAATTTTATTAAATATCACAAGAATGACTGACCATTAATTAAATAAAGAGATATTAGTGCCCCCCATTAATTGATTAAATTAACCTTCATCTCAAATGCATATTTTATTTTATTTTACACTGATTAATCTTATCCTGCATAAGTAATTTTATATTACTTCTGTTTATATAATTTATCACGCATAAGTTATAAAAATAGTAGAAATTCTGGTTAATGTTGAACCAAAACTTCATATTCTCTGTATGAAACTTCCGCTCCATCATAAGGAATGTAAATACAGCCATGACTTGGTTGTACCTGTTCAACACAAGTTTAAAATTTCAATTTAATTATTTTTTTTCTATTAAGATTGATTGATTGATTCTTCTAAACCAGTATGGTATAATCATTATTAATACTTTTCCAATGCAAGGCACGCCATTATGATAAGCTCTTCCAACAAAAAGAGTCTCATTACAGCTTGTTCTACCACCTTCTATAGCTCCTGGTGGAATCTGACCATGACTTGCTGGTAGCCAGTGAAATTCAGCCGGCATAAGTATCTGTTAAGCAGATGAAATATTTGATTATGGCTTAATGATTTTCAATTTCTAATTCCAATATAGATTAATTGAAATTCTTACTTCAAAGTCATGTTTCAGATGCTCTTTCCCTCCATGAGCAACATATGCACATCCATGTTCAGGTTTGGCTTTTGCGGGTAGCAGATCACCGTCATGATGAGCCCGGCCAACAACAAGCTGAGCTCCATCTAAGTCTCGGCCAATGGTAATCATGCCCGGTACCCAGTACCTCGCGCCTGAATACCTCACCCACTTGTATCCTGCGGTACAGTAGGCAAACCACCATTGATTCACTCTGGTATTGTGGCTAAAGCGAGACTTTAGGGACTGAGAAGCATGGGTACGATGGTGGAAGCAATTGTGGTATACAATATACCATGCAACAGATTTGTTCGCTGATTACACCCGTGGTGGAAAGTTCACGCTTGCAGAATTCAGTTTACCGTATCTATCAGTGGCAGCATTATCGAATAGGCGGTAAAATTTAGACAGATTAAGATAATGAAACAAAAAAGTATTTCTTTTTAGAAATACGATTATTTCATCAAAATACAAGTGTTTAATACTTGTTGAGTTGATTTATTATTTAAAACGAGCAGTTTTTTATGTACCATTATCGACTTTACTTCACATTTTTTATGAATTGTCCGATACATCATAAAGATTAGATAAAGATTGAAAAATTTTTATTTAAAAATTCAAATGCAAAATAAAAAAATAAATTAGTTTAAAGAGATTTTTATTTTTCAATTTAAAATCGTTAATTAACTATTCTTTTGTTTTAAGAATTATACAATTAATCACTCCGCCTAAGGGTATAAAAAATCACTATGGATAAAAAAAGCTTATATAAATCTATAAACTTTATATGATAAATATTTTCAATTAATAAATACCAATATATAAAATATGAAAATAATAAAACTATGATATTCAGAGTGGAAATATTAGGCTATAGTTTAATAATGTATAAATAAACTATTATTGTTCTCTAATCAACCTTGAACAGAAAACACGGAACGAGAAAATATAATATTTTTATTAGTACTCTTTTAAACTCAATAGAGCTATTAAACTTTGATTAAAGTAACAAAATAAATGCAAATTATTAGTAATTTAAACATCAACTGATATGAAACATCCTGAAACTGTTTATAAAAGACTTATCTTTCAAAATTTTTATCAACAACCATTCCCAGTCAATTGGGTAACACATATATTTATTCAGATCTTGCCATGTTTTAAAATTATTAAATATTGTTTGACAAAAATAAACAATATATTATTTGTTAAAATATATTTTTAATGATAATTTATTTTCATTAATTATACTCATAATTCTGCAAGTGTTTATAATAGGAAAAAATTTGAAAGAAGTTTGTCAAATAGTTTCAGTTGTTTTGAAAATATAATAAGAATTGGCTTCGATCGTATTGCATATGGTATTAGAGTATGAAGACGAAATATGAGAGAGCAATGTACTTGAACACAAAGCACATGTGGTTGCAAGCGCAACAAAATTGCTATGGAATATTTCTGGCAGCAGAATATGATGTCCTTTATCGTTTTCCGATATCCGGTAGTTTTCATCGATAAGCCTCTTATCTCACTCTTAACGCATTCTTCTCCTGATTCTGCGTCAACTTACATGCTCCAAATTATCAAATTTTTTGTATCTTTTCTCTGATTCAATTCTTTGTCTTAACATTTTAAATATTTAATATCACAGCATAAATTTTTTAATAAACTTGATCAATGTAAATTTCGCATTAAGTATCGGAAAATAAGAAACTATTATGTCTAAATGACATTGAAGATTGTGATAACATATTAGCAGTTAAGTTAACGAGTAAGAATTCTGATAATTAGGTTGATAGTTCAACATTTCCGAGGAAAACTTGTCTCGTTAATACTTAGATAAAACTTTTTTTCATAATTTACATCAATTTCATTGTACACAAAATAAGTAATATTTGCTCTCACTAAGTTCACTAGAATGATTACTATGATTTTAAATACTTAAATTAATTTTATTATAACCACATATTAATTCATACATCAATATTTTTAGGAAAAAATTTTACAATACAAAAAAATTAGTTAAAACAGCACGTAAAATAGTTTGATAAAAATGAGATGAAAAATAGTTACTAACCTGGCATTTTGAATGTGACAGGGTACTTCTGCTGTAACTAGATTGCGAATGACTATCAACTCACTCAAAGATAACGTGAAAAAACGCCCATGACGATGACGTAAGGTAGATAAAATAATTATTAAATTTAAAAAGTTTATTTGTTAAAATTTATCATTTGTTTCCATGAAAAGAGCGCGATCTAAAAAAAAAGTAAGCATGATAAAATTTCTGGTATTTGAATTGGTTTAATCTTGGCACAGTTATCAAAACACTAGATAATTTGTGTAATGATATTTAACAAGACTTACCTAGCCGAATGATTCAATCAGATCAAACGTTTTTTGTCGATTAAATAGCTGGTCTTTTATAGTATCCAGACTAGACAGAGAAAATTATTGTGGCAAAATAACAATGTCACCCGTTCATTAATAATATGAAAAATAGAGAATCCGTTGTTGGTTAAAAAAAAATCAATATTGTTATTTAATGCTATCGCCATACTCAAATTCTTTTATAAAGTTTATTAATTAAAAGAAAAGTTCTAAAGAATTAATTAAAAAGTCAAACATTACTTTTAAATGAAAAACGTTTTTTTGTATGTTTTAGACTTCATAACTGCGCAGTAAACGCATTTACACATTTCGCTATTGTGATTGCAGTATACATCAGTGTATAGTACACTACACCATTTCAAAATGTATAATCGGAAATTGAATGTCAATAAAATATAGTAATTTTTCAATATGACAAGGTAAAGAATCTATAGCTGATGTTAGAAAATTTAGGCGAAAAATTTTAAAAGTCACTCAATGATTCATGAATGATCGATACTTTAATATTAATAAATTTTTGATGTTTGATAAAATAAGAGCTTGATCTGACTTACACAATTTACATACTTCAGACTTGTTGAAACTAAAAAACACCTTGTACATGATAACCGTTGCGCGCCAAAAATTGTGTGTGAAGTGTGGTAGTTATAGAAAGACTTTTAGTTGATTAGATGTAATTAGTGTGTATACATTATTTTTTAGGTGATTAAATGTTATAATTACAAACGAAAAGATCAGTTAGAATAAAATTAAATCAATTTTATTTACTTCATGTGATTATGAGGTGAAAAATATTATTTTTTCATTATAATAATGTAGAAATACAAATATTCGAAACGGCATTGGACATTTTCTGACATAACCAATTAGTAAGCATAACACAGATGTGTTAATTTTATAAAATATGCTGAGAATAATATTAATTTTTCATAATATTATTAGTTTTAGATGAAGTAAAGATAGTTAATAAAAATGATTTATAATATTTAATAATGATGAATTTTGAAAACGTTAATTGTATTTTTTGTGATCACTTGACTCATAAATTATACAAATTGGAGAATTCAATTAAAAATTAACAATTGAATCAATGAAAAAGAATTATTCAATTCAAAGTTTTATTTCTTAAGAAAAAATTAGGTAGAAAAAAATGGTATGAAATATCTGCTGAATTTAATTTTTTGATCTACCTAATCTGTTGGGAATGTTAACTGGGTCAGTTTAACCGTTTTTGTCTTATAAAGTCACAAGAAGGTAAAGGACCCTAATTTCATCAATGTTTCAACATTACCACAACTGGAATTTTTTTAAAAACAAATGAAATTATATCATTAAAATTAATGTAATAATCATTAAATTCATGAATGGTTAAAAAAACTGAGATTGTTAAGATGGCCAAATTGCTCCTCATTTCATTCAATAACTTAAACTTTTTTCCACTTCTTAATTCAATTATTCCCATCAACTAATTAAATTATACTGCAAATTTATTTTTAAATATTTTATGATAATGAAAAATTATATATATATATATATATATATATATATATATAAAACTGCTCAACTATCATAATTACAAGAAAAATATTATAATAATTTATGACTGTAATTATATATAGTGGTCAAATAGTGATTGCAAATGATACATCAACTCTAATTAAAAGTTCTTATTCAAGGTAGAATATCGAGTAATTTTTTTCAAAACCTCACACAATCAAGTTACCGAGTGATTTTCAAAATGGTTTAATTTTATTTAAGTCTTACTATGTGTACTTTTTACTGGTGATGAAATATGAATAGTTAAAAAAAAAAATGTGTGGTTTGTAGTGACATGACAACTTAAGTTAAAAGATTATTTAGAAGGTAAAGTAACCAAAGCGGATGGATAAACGTTGAAATTTGGAGTATTACATCACACTTTGGTAAGTTGCACATGTATATACATACGTAAATGCTTAAATGTATGAGTAATATTGTTATATTGTAAAAGAGATGAAAAAGGTAGAAAAATAGATGCTGAGGGATTGTGCAATGAGTGAAAATCTTTCTGACAGGCTGATGGTGAGAAAACTATAGGGATCATGGGCAAGCTGGTGAACAGAGGAAAATACATATATATCTATATACATAGTCTAGAAGCACTAGCGCAACCTCCCGTTCCGGATTAAATTTGCATGGCTTTACTCGATCCCTCATCCCATTAGATAGTAGCTGTATTCAAGCGATATCAGTCGGATGAAATTCTGATACACTGGGATTTTAGCGATAAACTGTAAGATGAATCAAAGCATTTATTAAGTGTTATGAATAATTCATTATTTTTAAATTAATTTTTGATATTTAATAAAAAAGAAACGACTGATGGAGTTTAAAATCAGCCACATGTTCATTATGGAACCTTCATTATACCTTATTAAAAAAATTATTGGTATAATATCTACCACCAAGAATTTTATTATATTAATTGAATTTTCGGGTCAAGGCCATCCCTAGGCCAGGTTATCATACCCTCATTTTCAATATAAACATCACATTTTTCTGAAGATATTTATTTAACTTGCGTGCCGAAGAACATATTTTTTTTTATTACTCATGACAAATGGCTCATGATTTTGAAACGAATTGAATTTGTGAGGATTTGATGTTGATGTTATGCTACATAATATTAGATTACTGCAGTGCGACACCTGTGATATATCTATTTTTCATACTCATTTACTTATTTATTAAGGAGTTTTTCGAAACTTATTTTTAATATCATTTATTGAACTATCTAATAATTTTTCATTTATTTTTTTCTTGTCCATGGAAATGTAACATCGTGATTGGTCTCAAAGTATTTTACTTTTTCTTCTAAGAGTTATTATTAATATCGTCGGCGATACTTCAAAGTTTGCTGTAATAGAAGCAATTTATTGATTTTATTGAAAAAATTTTATCTTCAAAAGTACTCTTTAAGATACTTTTAACAATTTTTTTCGAGAATTATTATATTAATCTTTGAAAGTCTGGCAAATAATTTTTTTATCGCTTTCTACTTAGACATTTATCGTTGTTAGTATTACAATAAATATAGTCATGCATATTGTATTTAAAAGTTTTCTCTTAAAATTAACTTACATGATGCACATAAATTAAAATAATTGATCTGTAAATCCTGCACATTTTATTCAAGTTTAAAGCTTCAATGAACTTAAATAAGTTGAGGTTGGGAATTATAAAATTCATCAATACTCAGTATAAACCTTGAAGCTTATTTTCATTTAAAAGAATTTATAGCAAATAAATGATAAATTAATTTTTATTGAATGCCTTAAAAAGAAAATATTTAATAAAATGCAGAGTCAGGGTATTTGAAAATTCATTTTGCTTATCTCATAAACTCTAGATTTTCTTCAAGACGTTGTTATTATACACATTCCACAGCAAATATAATCTTCTTGTATAAGAAGTGCGGAGAAACAAAGAAGAGTATTGGATCCAAGTTAAAAGACTGTTGCGTTTGCAGTATCTCAACTTGTTCTGTGTATACCATAGTTAACGATAGTTTGAAGCGTGATCCAGTCAATTTCTGTTGAAGATTGCATATACATAAGGCGAACAAACAATGCTGGTTTCTGCACCAATGATTTGCCTTAGGTAGAGAATGTTATCCTTGATCCTTTCATCACATAGCCGAGAGAATATCATAGAATCGATGTTCTTTTTCATGTAAACTTTACTCATCGTACGGAATCACCCTCAGTCTCGAACGTAAACTGTGTTTGATCAAGAGAATCATATAAAAATGTCATTGTGTCATTAGTATTTATTGGAGCTGATAGTAATCCGATTCTTCGTTAACTTTTCAGTTGATTATTCTGTTATATTGGTAAATCAATTATTTTGAAAACGAACTGTTCATCAGATTAAATTATTATTTCTATACTTTTATTAATAATTCATAAACAACTGAGTTGTTTGATAAACAATAGTTTTTTTGTCAAGTAGGTATGGTACATTTTAATAAACCATACTTTCAACTCAATTTTTTTACGATATTTATTGTAACATATTGTTATTAATGAGAGAGGATAATTTGAGTATAAATGAAAAGTAAATTTTTTATTGGTTTCTTCATTTATTCAATTCCATCAAGTTGATTTATTTGGATTCTTTTAGTAAGTAAAAAAAGAATTATAAAACGTAAAAAAATCCTTTGAATTATGTCGGTCTGCATTTAATTTGAAGTTTTCGATTAACCGTAAAGACCAAATAAAATGTTTTTAAATAAATTTGGAGTTTATTGTAATTGAAGACTCGGAATACCCTAAATTTATATTCGTTGTTCAGCAAAATTGATCAATTCAACAACAGATGATTAAAAATCTAAAAATTATCCAGGAAACTTATGAATTGTATACACATTATTTTTGTTATTAATAACATAAAGAAAAATTATCTGTGAAATATTCCTGGAGTTTTAATATACATTTTTGCACAAAAACGTTTTACGTAGTAATTCAAAGAAATAAAAAATAATGAGGGTTTTTGTTTTACCTAAAAAAGTTCTCGTTTGCTAACCTCGAGAATTCAATAAGAACATTTTCTTCCCTCTTGGCAATGAGAGTGTATTAGTGCAGCATAAAATACTTCATTTGTAAAGCAAATAAAAAAAGTATCATTCACACATTTTCGTGTTAGAGAAAATCTTGCAGCTGCTTTTAATACATATTAAGTAAATTTATTATATAGTAAAATTGATTCATTATTCATAATATTGTGTGATAAGATTTTCTTAATACTGACAAAGCTCTTAAATTTCATACTTTCCAACTAGAATGTACTCATTAAAAACAACATCATTTTATCACATCGAAGTATTTGCGTTATCCTCAAATTTACTATTTCAATTTGTTTTGGACAATTATTCATTCTAGTAGTTAAAGCGAAGTTTTTAGTGATCTTATATATTTTTCGTTTATTAAACATAATGATGTATTTAAAAAAAAAAGTCTAACATGTTCTTTAATTAATGAGTGATGTTGAAGTCGATGAAAAAATAGGTAATTTTGATGGATAGTTGTGGAAAAAAAAGAACTTATCACAGAGGTTAATCACCAATCAATATGTAATTATCAATAAGATGTATTTCAAAATGAATAA